GGTTAAAGTATCAGATTTGATGTTAATATTTATTCATTATACTGTTGAACTTGACAGTATTTTCTCTCTTGTTATTTCATAGGGAGCTTCAAAGAAGACAGAGAAAGCCAGAGTCTCAGGTCAGCTGTGACCTGAAGAAGAAGAAGAAGTGAAAATGCATGTGCCCAGTGTTTATCAGTATCCTTATGTTCATTGGGTAATCCATGGTGAGGAAGTGGAGATTGTTGCAGATTACAAATACCTGGGAGTCCATATAGACAACAAACTGGACTGGACATCAAATTCAACAGCACTCTTCAAGAAAGGTCAAAGCAGCCTGTATTTTCTGAGGAGGCTCAAGTCTTTTAACGTCTGCAACACTATGCTGCAGATGTTCTATGAGTCTATGGTGTCTAGTGTCATTTTCTATGTAGTGGTCTGTTGGGGAAGTAGTATGAAGGTGGCAGACAGAAATAAACTGGACAAACTAATTAGGAGGGCTGGCTCTGTACTTGGCATGGAGCTGGACCCTGTTCATGTTGTGGCTGAGAGAAGGATGTTGTCAAAACTTTACTCAATCCCGGACAATCCTTCTCACCCACTACACAGTGTGCTGGTCGACCAGAGGAGCACATTCAGCCAGAGACTGATTACTGCCAAGTGTTCCACTGAGCGCTTCAGAAGAACCTTTATCCCTGTGGCCATCAGGCTGTACAACTCCTCTCTATAAGTGCTGGAACATTTTTGAGTAATGCATGTGTAATACATGTTCATTTCATATGCAATAAGGGACTTTTCTTGTGCAATGCAAATTATTATTATTATTACTGCCTATTTATTAATACTAAAATTAGTGTGCAATGCATACTATATAACTACTGTACTTAATTACCATTACCATACTGGACTTATTATATTCCACATTTGTTATTCCATTTCACTTTAATTAATTTCATATTTGAGCTAAACTACCATTTTCACTGGTCTAGTTTTATATTATTATTTGTATGTTTTACTTATTCATTTTTAATTTTATTGATATATAGGTATATATTTATTCATTTTATTATCTTTTTTCTTTCTTTCTTTCTTTCATTTCTTTCTTTCTTTCTTGAGAGCAATTGTAACATGGAAAGCAATTTCCCTCTGGGATTAATAAAGTTTTTTGAATCTTGAATTAATTTAGGCTAAAACAAAACTGAAACCAACGTTGGGTCTCTCATTCCACACAAAATCAAATGTTTCCGTATTCGCGATGTATTTGAATGCCAAATATTATTTATTATGACTTCACTCGCGTTCCAATATCCACGTAAAACAAAATGTTTTACTACATGGTTTTTATTTTTTTTCCCATATGTTTGACTGACTGTATTTTATTATGATAATGAACAGGCTGCATTGTCAAGGTAGCAATGTTTAACTGTGTGCGGCGCCGGCGCAATCACTTAAAGTCCCCATGAAATCAAAATTTAAGTTTTTTGGGTGTTAGTATCAATATGTTAGTCTTAAGGTTATCTATAAGGCAGTGTGCTCCAAAACAATGACAAAATTCGCATTTAAAAGATAAGCATTCAAAGCTTTCAGTTCGTCACTTCCGCCAAAATGGCTCAATGATTTTTTTTTGACATCACATCTTACTTCAGCTTCTCTTCAAACTTTCTGTCCAATCAAAAGCGCCCACCCCTACACTATAAAATAGACGCTGAAGCCGTGGCTGAAATCGGTCACTTGTCCACAGAATTTGTATTTTCTGTACAGTGAATGGCACGTAGTGCACTATATAGGAGACAGGGAACGATTCAAACAGTGTAAATATGCTTTCCATTGAGGAAAAAAAGAAGTCTGGTTTTGCGCTGTCTCTCTCTGGACAGAGCAGTCGGCGCAGACCACAAAATGTATCGGAGCTATTTGAATTCTACACAGAATGCTATATTTTATAGCAATATGGATGAGACTGTGGCTGGCATACCCTGTCAAATGCGGCTTTACGGAGCTCAACGGCTCTAGCCCAAGCTGTGATATAAACGAACGCTATTGGCCATTTTAAAAAGGGGCGGGGCTGCTTGATATGTCCCGCCCCGTCTTCCTGTTTCAGTTAAAATGACGTCAACACAGTAACGTTGCGTGCTTCTAAGCATTTCAGGAGACCTTTAAATTGTGTCCTAACTAACAGTGGAAGAAACTACTCCTTTTAGTCCTAAAGATAATCGGAATTGTAAAAGGTTTGCCTTTATTTGTGTACATTCACAATAAAAACAAATCTTTGTGCTTTTGTAAAACAAGCCTAAAGAAAAATAGGATGCCGCTTTCTGCCGTCTGTTTCCTTTCGCGCAGCACAAAAATGAACAGAAACTCTGCATATAGGCTACTTGTTGCAGTTTTTCTTTCATTTTCTTAATTTATTATTTAAGTAAAAACATGTTTTTCGTATAGGCCTATTTATTCGTTAATTATAGCCTAGCTTTATTATGTTTTTCTCCGCTCGCAGAAGTGCTGCAGGTGCGTGATGTGATATGATGACTATGTGAATCTTCCTGTTCTGTTGTTTGCTGGCAGGAGTAAATGTAAAATTAATCCCCGGGAAACAAATGTTAGTATTTTTTAACGGGTCACAGACACTTATCCTTTCTATTTTAATTCAATTCTAAGAAAACTGAGTGACCACATTGCTACATTAAAATGCCTCATCTGCAGCCATTCTAGATGCGCATTAAAACTGAATTAGAAGCGCGTTAACTGCATGACTTCATTGGCGCCGGCACAACTACAGGTTAAAGAGATTAAAATACGGGTACGCAAGTTAACAGGTTAAAGTATCTGTTTTGATGTTAATATTTATCCATCATACTGTTGACCTTGACAGTATTTTCTATCTTGTTATTTCATAGGGAGCTTCAAAGAAGACAGAGAAAGCCAGAGTCTCAGGTCAGCTGTGACCTGAAGAAGAAGAAGAAGTGAAAATGCATGTGCCCAGTGTTTATCAGTATCCTTATGTTCATTGGGTAAAAAGTACGGGTCACAGACACTTATCCTTTCTAATTTAATTCAATTCTAATTGGTCGGTTAACAATCGGTTAACGAGCGCCGGTTGTCGGTTAGGAAAAATAACTGTAATGAACATCCCTAGCGCTAACAACGCGTTTCTGTGTGGTGTGTGTCTGTACTGTATGTGTGTGCGTTTGTATGGGAGAGAGAGCGGTAAAACGACAGCAGTGCTTTCTGTACATTGCTTGGTCAGTGTCATTGTGGGTTTTGGTTCTTTTGCTGTTGTAGGCTGCAAGGACTGTTGAAACTGAATTCATTTGGTAAAGTGATATGGACATGTAAGGCCTACCTGGAACTACTTTAGCCGTCCATTTCCCAGAAAATAATTGCACACCTTAGAACGTTCGTCAACCAATCAGATTCAAGCGTTCAACAGCCCTGTAGTTTAACAAAGAATAATGATTGGATTTCGCCTACAAAATTTCGGAAAGCAACGGTGAATGTAACCACACTATTACAATACCAAGGAAATTCGCAACTATTGATCTACCGTGTGAACTATTCCTTTGAATATAATCTTGTTAACTCATTCTTCTGATACAAGTTAACAAGGAGAATCTCTGTTAGAGGGGTGAAAAAGTTAATGGGAACTACACGGCCGACGCCTCTCAGAATTACTGTCAACAAACACAATTACAGTGGAGGAAGGCCAAACGGAACAGATGGAGAACTAGCTGATGTGGCTTTATGGCCTGAAAGCACACAAACACACAACTTTCTGACCCACCCACGGAGCTCTTTAGAAACACAGTAGACGTCTACAGTATCTGCTGCAGATATACGACACACTCTACACAGAGTGTTCTGTTAAAGGAACAGTAACACACCACAAACAAATCCTTGAGAAAGCTAAAGCAATCCTTAGCAATTCATAATTTCGGAAACCTATGAGCCCACAAAGAGCAGCATGTTGTTACGGAATCTCAGTAAGCCGTCTGCGGCTTGACAAATGCACAGTGCTATAAAAAGTAGGGCCATTTGATTTAACCATAAAAAGAGAGCAGAGATGGTGTAAAAACAAGTGCTAAAGCTAACGCTAGTTGGCATGCTAATGTAAACGTGAAGGTTAGGAAGCATCAAGACAGCAAGAAATCAAAACTGACCTGATTTGCCTCCTTAAAGATGATGTGCGTAATTTTTTGTGTTGAAATACCCAAATTAGTTGACATATATGAAGTGTTTGAGCACAGAAGGGGGCATGCTTAGCAATTCATTATTATTCTTACCAGACTTTGGGTTGCAGAGCACAGGGGGGCTGCTGCTGAGTGTGGGGCTGCTACTATAGTAACCGCTGCTGCCACAACTACTGCTCATACTGCTCCTCCGTACAGCCGACACCAACTTTATCTCTTTAGTGGGGCTCACTGAGGGGAAGGAGATTGAGAAAGACAGAAATAAGGTTAGATAGACTTGATAAGAGCAAGTAAGAGAGAGAATAAAGATAAAATACACACGCAACACTTCTCCCAGCTCAAAATATCATTCCAATAGTGCAGTGTAGATAATGTTATGGAATGTAAACATCCATTTTGTGTGCATTTACTAACTGAAATAACAGTTCAGACGAAGGCCAAACATCTGTTAGTGTTCTTCTTTTAACATAAATGTATTGTATGGCAAAAAGCATCAAATAAAGAACACACATACAGGTTTATAGCTAGCTATCAAAATAGACATACGTTAGACTTCTAGCTTTATATAGGGCTAATTATAGATAAACGTTAACACTACCACTCTTCACATTTGTATAACTAAAAAAAAAAATTGTACTTGATTAACTTTGAGTGCGATGTCAAACTAGAATGTGAAGAAAGAAATTAATATGTTAATACAAATAAATAAAATGTATAGAAATTATCAAAATAGTTCATGTTCATTTATTCTTAGAAATATAAGTCTTTTTAAACATCAGTTAAATAAATGGCTAATCATAGGCCAATTGAAAATTATTTATTTACAATTTTATTATAAGGTTATACATTTTTATTTTAGTATATAACTAAATAAATCTATAAATATAAATAAGAAAATAAATTAATAAATAATTCCAATAATTTATTTTGAGTAATATCATTGTGAAATTATAAATAATAACAAATAATTAATAAACAAATTATACAGTCATCGGGGGAAAAAAACACTGATTATATTGCCATCAAAACATGCAGTAAAAAAGAAAAAGTGTTGTGTACTAATCTACCTGATTGGCAGTTATAAACCTTGAATTTATGCACTTGTGTATGTTTAAACAAAGGCACACCATACATATAGTACACACACCACAGGCACATGGAAAATTTGAGTTCATATTTTATTCCGCTCTGAGAAGAGGAACCAGAGAGGCCCAGTCCCAAGACACACTGAACTAACTTCCTCTACTGACTCATGATACTGAATCTACAGGCCAATACTGAAAAACACTTGATCTGAAACTGAATCTGAGTTTACATTTATTGTAGTTCATTATTCAACATGATTCAGGGCTATATTCTAGCTTTGTCTAGTATAATACTATGTGTTAAAACACTAGCATTCATCTACATTTTGTAAATCTAAACAAAAGAGAAAAAAAAGCAGTTTGAAAAACTGAGGTTACATATATAATAGTGACTGATATTGACAAATTAACTAAAATGTAATATTAAAAATGGAAAACTGGGCAAAAGGGACATGTTACGCTTGCTTGTCTTTGCATGTTCACCTTTCACATACTTATCACAAAAAACAGATGATAAATCAGATCGGGCGCATTAAAGGGTTAGTTCACCCAAAAATGAAAATTAGCCCACAAATTACTCACCCTCAAGTCATCCTAGGTGTATATGAGTTTCTTCTTTCAGATGAATCCAGTCGGAGTTTTATTAAAAATTGTCTTTGATCTTTCAAGTTGTTTAATGCCACTCAGTGGGTGTTGCATGCATCAGTCCAAAAGAAGTTAAATAAAAAGCGCCCATCTATAAAAAAGGGTCTCACACGGCTCCGGGGGGTGAACAAAGGCCTTCTGTAGCGAATCGATGCGTTTTTGTAAGAAAAATATCCATATTCAAAACGTAATAATCACTTTAATGTAGCTTGCGCCAACAGTCCTACACGGAAGCAGCTAAGTATTTACATATGTAATATTACATAAATATTTACATATTTACGAGGCAAAAAACGCATCGATTCGCTACAGGAGGCCTTTGTTCCCCCCTCTGGAGCCGTGTGAGACGGGGGTTTTTTATGGATGGGCGCTTTTTATTTAACTTCTTTTGGACTGATGCATGCAACACCCGCTGAGTGGCATTAAACAGCTTGAAAGATCAAAGACAATTTTTAATATAACTCCCACTGGATTCGTCTGAAAGAAGAAAGTCATATACACCTAGGATGACTTGAGGGTGAGTAATTTTTAATTTTTGTGGGCTAATTTTCATTTTTGGGTGAACTAACCCTTTAACTCCCTCAACAAGTCTGAAAAAATCTGTGGAGATCAGAAAATACAACCTTCCCTATTTGAACACATTTAATACTTTGAGTACAAAAACTCTGTGAACCCTCACCTGAAAGCTCTAGTAAGCACACATAAGCATTCACAGGCTGTGAGAACAACTAAAAATAAAACTGTCAATCAAAATGGTGGATTGAGGACTAGTAAAAGCTTTTCGTAGTGTTCATTTAATGCTGTACTCGTCTGTCACAATAATACAATGTCTTTGAAAATATTAATTTAGGGACTTTTTTTTTCATTGTGATTTATTTGTGCATACGCTTGATTATAATGTAATGCATTTGATTATTTGAAATCATAAAAATGTATTACATATTTTATTAAATATTATTATTTTTTTAATTCAATATAAAAAAATTATAAATTGATATTCAGTGCCGTACTTGCCGGTCACAGTAATGTAATATATTTGAATAATCTTCATTTATGGGCTTTTTTGTCATCATATATTAATGTATGCAATTCACTGGATTGATTTGCTTATATGCTTGCACATAATGTAATACATCTGATTATTAAAATATTTGAGAATGTATTACATGTTATTACATATTAAATATTATTAAACATTATTGAAAATTATTGTATTATTTATATTACAAATTATTAAAAAATAACAATAATCTATTGACACTAGTGAGTCTCCTTTCAACTTATTAGATGTTTGTACACAAATATGGCACTTCAAACTATGTTCAAAGCAATGTTTTCCAGATGATGCACTTCTTCACATGTGAGCTCACGGTGTGTCCTTTCAGTAACTTCCTTACTACATTGAAATTGATTTTGGTTGTCCTTCATTATCTACACGTGCAGCGCATCAACAACAAATTAAAAATGCATGAGACCACATCCAGAAGTTCATTGTCTACCTGCCACTATAAATGACCACAGCTGTGTCCACTAAATCTAAAAATCAATATCACAAACTACTGGGTGTAATGAACACCGTTGTGCATGCATTCTGCAAATTTCCTTTATGATCGTGGACTAACCTGAAAGGAAGCTGGTGTTTCCCCCCTCAGAGCCCTGTTTGCGCAGACAGAAAGGGCTGTCATGGTTCTCCGGTATGCTGCGACAACGCTCGTTCAAAAGCTCTATCAGTCGCCGCCGCCGCCGGAAATTCATCCTGAATTGGTAAAGCAGTCCGCCATCCACAAAATGGTGCTTGTTAGAAACTAGGGAGAAAAAATGAGAAATGCATAAAGAGAAGAGGTCATATGTCAGTTTACTGGGATTGAAGACGTGATCTGTCAAGCCACAATGGTCTAAAATCTAGAAGTGAAAGGCAAAAAAATACAAAAGTCAACACAATATTAATATTTTGGATTTTAACTTTAAGGCTTTTTTTAATTGAAGTAAAACATTTATTTACTATTAATTTCATTAATTGGGCAGAAGTGGCAAAATAGCAGAAAAAGCTGAAGTCTCTTCTTATTTAATCTTTTTGTGCTAGAAGCAGGAAAACCAGTCTAACCAGGTCTAAGTATGTGAGACTGTGTGTGTTTGTGTAAGAGGTGCACATCCCATCTTAGAATCCCATCCCATAATCCTATGCAGGAGTATAATAGAGCAATTCTAAACTCCCTTCTTGCATAATATCTCATGAGTCATCATGTTTCAAACTCAGCATTTAGTTTCACATGACAGCTTTAACTTTCTACTGTGTTCTGCCATGTCAATATTTCAAAGACAAAGAGTAGGAAAAATTCAACATGACATTCCACCTTTCACCAATTTAAAATAAAATAAAATATTGAGTAACTATGCTATCAATACACAAATAAAATATTGAGATTTCTAAAACACTAGAAAAAAAGATTTAAACCAAGAAAAATCAAACGGTTATGCTATGGGCAATCAAGTACAGTGGATGCATATGATTTGTGGTGCAGAGGAATGCAGATGAATGTGTGTGGGAGAGAGAGAGCGGAGCTAGATGAGCTAAACACTACCTCATTGTCTGACTATCACTACATGGCTAGTCTTGCAGAACAAGTGATTTGCCTTTATGCAAAAATTCTGGTCCATTTTCCAGCTTACTCGTGTAAAGTGGCCACAGTTTTCTATTTTATAGCACATTATAGAGACATAAAAGCACAGAAAAATATAAAATTTAAAATGACATTACATATAAATTCACAAATAAATATCAAAAGGCAAAATAAGAATGACATACATATGCACTACTGTTCAAGAGTTTAGGATCAGTAAGATTTTGACTGATTTTTGAAGTCTCATGCTCATCAAGGCTGCATTTATTTGTACTATTGTAATAATATTATGAAATATCACATAATATTGTGAAATATTATGATTTTCTATTTTAATATCCCTTAAATATAATTTATTCCAGTGGTGGTGAAGCTGAATTTTTTTCAGCCATAACTCAAGTCATCAGTGTCACATTATTCCTTCAGAAATCATATCAATATGCTGATTTATTAACAATGTTGGAAACAGACGTGCTGCTTAATATTTTTTGGGGAATCTGTGATTATTTTTTCAGGATACTTTGATGAATAAAAAGTTAAAACATTACAGCATTTATTCAAAATAGAAATCTTTTCATCTAAATGACATTCAGGGGTAGGTTCACATCATATTCTTGATAGTCTATTATTGTTTTTGTTGTTGCACTGTGGGACACAAGGAACTAGGGGAAACCATTTCATTGCACTACATCAATATGTAATATGTATGTGTCAAATAAAAAACCTTCAACATCTGGTTAATCTGAAGCAGAGGAAGAACTGTTGTAAAACTGATGAAACGGGTAAAAAAAAATACTGATTTGTCTTTTAATTTAGAATTTCTATACAAATTAAATAAACATTGATTATTTGATGGACATAACTCAGCATTAAAATCTAGCTTCTTTAGCTCAAATCATGCTAAAAAAACCTTGCGTTTTCACTAATCTAAACCCTCCACTCACTGAGTCCTCCTGAACAAAACTCCCACACATACAGCTGGGCACATTCATCCCACAGGCAAAAGCAGGAAAAGCAGAGAACATGCTTTCTGGTTGGAGAGATCACTGCCATCTCCACCCTAATGGAGGGGGAATGAGTTCATATGTGTCATATGCATTTCATGCTTATTCATTGTACAACTGTACAGTGCAACTTTCACTAGCTGCAATACCTAGCTAACAAAATATATATTGTGTGTTGGAGTGGTCCAGACGCTACAACTGACAACAGATTTACACATGCTTCTCGACACAGTGCAGTGCAATTCACAATCAAGCTCAATAGTGTTGGGCGATATGCTCCTTAGTCATATCGTCAGCCTGTGACAAATCCGATACATGATATTATCATGCTAATTTATTTAAAGGGGTCATATGACGTTGCTAAAAAAGAACATTATTTTGTGTATTTGGTGTTAAAACCCATTATAAACGAGGCATTTGTTGCATCCAGTGGGGACATAATTACTGATTATAATGATTTATAATGTCTTTTTACACGTTGCGTTGCATTGCATCGCGCCGCATAAACATAAAACCATGTCTGCATTTGTGATTGGAGAAATGACAAACAACAAGCGCTATTCTACACTGCTCAAAACTCGCGTTTGAATCGTCAGTGGCAAATCCTTTAAATATGAAAACGAACTTACAGGCTGTGAGTCAGCATTATTTGTCAGCATCATAGACTGTATATGGTCAGCATGCGCGCCGAAGGGGAAACAGGGGAACTGAATTCACCGGAACCCCGGCATTGTAGGCTACTCTCCCAGGAAACAGTCCTCGTCCTCCGTAAAATGCGCTGCACATCTGAATATTTGGTTTGAACTGTTCTGGAACAGTGTTGTAAATACAACTTAACCACTGATTTTTTGATGTGTCCTCTTTTGAAAGGCCAAACAAAGTAGTTTCGTTTTCACAACGAAACACACAGCGTCTTCACGACATGGAGGCGGCGGTAACAATACTACAGCGAGCATCAAAGTTACGCCTTCTTACATTTGGGTGGCGTTATGCAAATCTTCCCACATCGTGACGTAGGTATGTGGGGGCGTGTTAGAACGAGACATTTTAGAGGGGCGGGGACGAGTCTTAACTTTGATAAAGAATATCTCTTTGGGTTTGAAACTTTAGTCTTTGCAACTTTAGGGATCTTATCTATTCATGAACAGCTTGTAACGCTCCAAAGAGAAAGGAAAACTTGAAATCGCATCATATGACCCCTTTAATTATTTACTTACTTAGATTCATAGCCGGAGAGTGAACAAACTCCAGGGTAAGGCTAAAAGCAGCCTAATGTTAGTGTGATCTATTAACTACACATTATATATTTTTAGTCAAGTAGCATATGGATGTCATGTCATAAAATATTTTTAATATGACTGAATTTGTATTTAAAAAAGAAAAAAAAAGAAATATGATAGAACAACTAAGACCTAATATTAATTAGATAATATTACTAACCTGATAAAAATAACAATCGTCTAGCAATCGTCAAAGGCATCAGCCACAGGCGATATCTCAGACTATTGTCGCTACACGATACCAGGGGCGGTTTTAGGATTTTATCCACAGGGGGGCTGAGCCCTCAGCCGTAATCGATCGCGGATGATTTCATTATTTCGGGTGGATTAAAAAAAAGTATAAGAGCATAAAAATAATAAAAGCAAAAATGTTTCTCCTAATATACTTAGGAGGCCATTTATATACCTGGGCGGCCTGCCCAGTAAAGTCTATGTGAGGGAAACATTGCAGTTATACAACTTCATGTCAGGGGGCCTCTCCGCTGACAGCTAGAGGTTGAGGGGGGCCAGAAGTGGCAAAATAGCAAGAGAGGCTGAAAACCTGCTTTTCTTTTTTCCTTTCATCTCTACCGTATCCTTTGCCCTACTGCTGTGGGCAAAAAAATTATAATAATTAGTTTTTCACTGATTTGTTGGTTTAAAACAGCAGATTTCCCAGGATGCCCTGTCATGATCTGCTTGCTGTTTTGACTGTATCCAAATGTGTCAGCTAAATGCAAGTCAGGGCACAAACCTTTGTTCAGTTATGGTGTGGTTTTTGCTTTATTTAATATCTGCACGCCTATGAACATAATATAGAAAGAGACACTGATTCAGTTATGAGGTAGTAAAGAAACAAGAATATAGAACTGTTGAACCTTGGCAAGTGTGCATTTATTTAAGCTGAGAAATAGGATTGATTGACTCTTAATTTGGCAGGTTTTGGTCTGTGCATTTCTCGCTTAAACTAAGGCTATAAATTAGTGAACAATGACTTATTTAAAATTTTTATTTTTTTAATAAAAGTAATTAAATTCGTTTAATAATACTTTGTTATATATTAAATATAAGTACAATTAAAAAATTTGCATTTATTTCTTGTTGCACACCTGAAAAAATGTATCAGTTGCCAAAAAAAAAGGAAATTAAAAATATTAAAAGGGGGTATATGCATTATATATAAATTATAAACATTTAATTACTTGAAAAGAAATCCATTGCATCTTTTTTTAAGGCTTAACTTAATTGAGTTGAAAAGTTTGTCTCAATTTAATTTAATGTAACATTTGTGTTTTTTCTGTGCAGTGGGAGAGGTCAGAGGAGGCGGCCTGTAATGCCTTTAGCAGAATAAGCAGATTTCTCAAAGTCAGCAGAATTCAGACAGGAAAGGTGCTGTCAAACAAAGACACTGTATCAGACCCAACAGGGCTCTGATTGTGCTGCTGTGCATGTGACTGTTGTGTGTGACTGAACTGAAGGGTATATAGCTCTGTTCTATGGTAACCACTATTTGTGTGTTTGGGTGTGTGTGTGTGTGTGTGCGAGTTTGTATTGGGTGTGTGTATACACACGGCTGTGTGTTACGCATGTGAATAATTTTGTGTAGATGTGTTCTAGTGTGTCACGCTGTGTTTGGCTGTTGCCTGGTCAGAGGTATGCCCATCTGTTGCTGACCATCAAAGAGTCTTTCCTCTTGTTTAGTCATGACTCCACCAATCCCCCCATATCATATTTAATAACACGAATGACGTAATACTGCACGTTTACTTCAATGCATGTATATTTTAAAGGATGACGCATGTCATGATGAGCAAATTAGACTACAATTCAATGGTCAAATAAACAGTATTGAAGGGATAGTTCACCAAAAATGAAAATTCTGTCATCATTTACTCACCCTCAAATCGTTCTAAACCTGTATGAATTTATTTCTTCTGATGAACACAAAAGAAGATATTTTGAAGAATGTGGATATCCAAACATTTATTGGTCCCCATTGACTTCCATAGCATGGAAAAAATATTATGGAATTCATGGGGAGTATAAACAGTTTGGTTACCAACATTCTTAAAAATCTGTCATAATAGAATTTAAATATTTGGGTGGATTATCCCTTTAAGTTCATGCAGCAAACCATGAACTATAATTCAGGAACAATGCCATCTAGAACAATGTCAATCTATGACTTGGTTCAGTAGGTCCATAACTTTAAAGTTATGTTTAATTTAAATGACCAAATGAAAGTTTGATTTAATGTATTTAGTTTTTTTTTTCAAGAAAGGTTTACATTTAATGTAATACAAAAAATGTCATGTAGTGTAACTATCAAGTAAAAAGTAATAACATATTTTCATCATACCTTTAATACACGTGAGTGTATCTTAATCTTTATTTAAAGAAAAAAATTAAAACGCATTTTTATATAATCAATTATGTTAATAATTAAAACAAAATTTTTATGGAATTTTCATTTTAATCTTTTATTTTTTTGTGTCATTTTTTAAATACAAATTATAATGGGTTTTTGTTGTTGTTGCATGCCAAAAATACACAATTTGAAAAAAAAAAAGTATAATTTAACAAATTTTTTTTACAAGCCGTATCGAACTTGACACACAATCATGAGGGTCTGCAGGGGTCAGACCACATGACTTTGATTAAGGTATGCGTGTATGCTGCAGGACTCTATTCTGCCCATGATCTCACCATGCTGAATGATGCCGTGCTCCAGCAGTCTGCGTCCCAACTGCTCGGCCTCCTCTCTGGTGGGCATTTCACCTTCCTGCAGGAGCCAGTCTATAAACTCTAAGGCCACCAGCGTCCGCTCATACGTCACACCCTCCTCTTCACGCGTCTGCAGCAGGGTGTTTTCAGTGTTCATCAACCTGTGGAGCGGGACAGCTTACTTATTAACATGTCAAACGCATTGCTTATATCATTAAGAGATCATTCACCACAAAACAGCAAGATTCGTGAAGAGATTTTCACATTTCACCAAAAACAAGGTCAAACTTCATTGGTGCTGCTAAATACGACAGCAAAAGAAGAGCAACAGAAGCTTCAAGAAATGCAACATTCTCCGCCATTCAAAGGCAGGTGCTGACGGGTCAAAACCAAATGCTTTCATGCGTGCCACTGACAAAGACACGCTGTTTAGCTGTCAGCACATTACCATAGCAAAATAAAGATTGCTATAAGAGATACAAGTCTTCAGAGAAAATGTGAGGAAAGCTGAGGAAAATAAAACTCTCGCTGACTCTTCCACAATTTCAGAACTGAATATTTATAATAGAAGCATATGCACAGTAGATATTAGAATTGCAGGCCATTCGGGTCAAGAAAAAGAGTATGATACATCTGAAACAGCTTGAGCAAACAACCCAATGAGCCAAACAAGGGCACAAATGACTATCAGTCAACATACTGTGCCAGCAATATGAGCCTCTGTATTAAATGTTTGCCCTGTACATATTGAGACTATTCTTGCGCAAACTGTGATTTCAAACTGCTTGCAGTTGATCAACCATATATTAATGACTGACTTTTGCAAGAAAACAAATGTGACATTGACCTAGTTTAAAGCCCCTTTCCGTTTTTTGATCATCATTCTTTTATATCTAGATTTTCTGTTAGCAGGTCACCATTTTAACCATATCCTGAATGCTCCACCAACACTGAAAGCCACAGATCTGGTTGCATAGTACGCGTGTGATGCAACGCTTCTCTCTCTAAATATCACTTAGTGCTGCAGTCTTGTCAAATCATGAGAAATCATGTCAGTGCTCAAAAATAAGGGGTGGCTTGATGGCCCGGTCCCAGGGTAAGAGAGTTTTGGCTCAGCTGATGGAACTTTAATTTGCCTCATTAGGCAAGATAATGTTTTGAACACGGTTGCTTTGCAAAATCTGTTGAATACAGCTGATGTACCCCATCATTCAAAAGTTTGGGGTCGGTAAGATTTGAAAAAAAGTTGATTCAATTAGTAATGAAACACTGCTGTGTTGCCTGGAGACACACAACAGTTCTGCTGTGGCTTTGATTGGGAACTATTTTCATCAGCGAGATTGAGCAAAACCAGTCAATATTTTGTCTAAAATGTAAAAAAAAAAATTATTGAACTTCTATAGTATAAAATCAATGTCACATTGCAATAGTGTTGATATTCGGGGAAACATCTTGGTCGTGTAATGTTGCTTACCTCAATCATATATTATAAATATCTTTTTTTTTTACCTCAGTATGCATCTATAACTTTCAGTGTGTGCTGTTGTGCTCATTGTTTTTTTATTTCCTTATTTTCTTTATCATATATTACATTAAACATATGTTCAAAACTAATATAAGAAGAATTTTTTTTATATATATATATAATAACAATTTTAAAGAAATATAAATAAATGATTATTATTATTGTTGTTATTATTATTTATTTAATCAAAGTAAGTTGCTGAAAGACAACAAGTATATTGTTTTGGGGGTAGAGCCAAGTAAAATATTGCCTGGGCAAGCTCAAATCTGAACTGATGATTAAAGTGGAAGTGGAAGTGAAAAAATCTTTATAGTTTAACGGTGGATGTGATATTCAGTTCCCTCAAGCACTATTAACCCTTCTATAAAAATAGTAAATACAGACATTTTTTGTTTTTCTGCATGCATTTCTACAGTAGTGGAATTCTAGGTGGACGTCTAGAAGTAAAGGGATCCAGATGCTACTATATGTTTTCAACATCTACTACAACAAAAGACCTCCATTAGGACAAAAGGGAACAATCTGAATAAACATCGAAGCAGGAAGTTCTTGGAGCTATTTAAGGGGCCATACGCCTCTTTTTACATTTGGCTTTAGTAACCCAAGCCCACAGTATAGATATACTGAGAACACTGGCAAACAATCCTTTTCAAAATCTCCACGACACCAGGAAGGCATCAAAAATACCAAGGTAGTTGACAAAGGCTAATCACGGTTGCTTAGAAATGGATCGCAAAACATTCCTGGCCATTTTCATATGTAGGTCTCTTAACCCATAATCAAACAGAATACTCCATATACAGTACTCCCAAAAACATTTTATATTTATACTCCATCAGCAGACTGAGCTCTTCAGCAATAATGAGAAGGGAACCAAATAAGCTTCCCTAAGAGCAAAGTCTGCAAATACTAACCACAAGCACAAATGTGTCCCTGGTGATTACATAAAAGCACACTGGTGGTTTGTGTGACAGATGTCTCCCGCTGGACTTCATCTTCCTGTTATGCAAGAGCAGGACGGCCCGCAGAGGAACGTCTACAGTGCAGCAGGACAGAGAGACAACATGCTGCTACCTCGACCTTATTCTGGTCATAAATGCAGAGCAAACACGAGCTGCTATTGCAAGATGGGTAAACCATTCATGGCTCAGATTAACCTTGCTTCAACTAATTCAGTATTTCACAACCAAAATACAACCAAAAAGTACTTGCCTTATATTTGATCCATTGTAAAGCTAAATTAAGACCTGAAACTGAACTGAAGTTATGAACTGATATTATAATCATCTTTCAAAGAGACCTTCAATAGTGATTAAACAGAAGTAATTTTACATGCTTAAAAAATATTAATACAATAATAATAATTTTAAAGTGTAATGACATTTAAAAACAAAACGTCAGGACCCCCTTGACCAGTTTTATAAAAATCTAAGTAACATTTTACAAACCTCTTTATTGAATAATTAATCATTACATAAATATGTTAATAACTAATGACTAAATTACTTTTGAAATTAATTTAATTTAGAAATTACTAGGTCACTTATGTATTTGCTACTTTCTTATATAATTGTAATTAAAACAAATAACTGTTTAACTGTCGAGTCATGTACAACAGTGGATAACAGTACACTGTAAAAAATAATTATTTGAGGATGTAAATAAGATTATTGGAGTATGTGTTACAAGAAAATACAATTTCAGTTTTTCTACATCAAAACATCATGTTTAATTCAATGTGTTACTTACCATTTTTTTTGTAACTATTTGTGAAATTTACTTGCAATTTCTGAGTGAAAACTTTTTTACCACCAGTTTTATTCAGTGTACACAACATGCTAAAATTTTTTGTTTTTTTTTAAATACCGATGTCAAGACAGGACAAGTTCAAGACAAAAACAAGACTGGAAAACTAATAAAATAAAATGAATATGAAATCAACTTTTTTTTTTTAAAAGTTCACTAACAGTAAGCCAAAAGGAAGAATTTTCTCTCTTTAGAGTGTGGTTTTGTGCTGAGATACATCAGCAAAGCAACAACTTGCAGGTAAAGCAGCTACTTCTAAATGTAACCAGCTGGAACACAGCATGCTCAATCTGCTTGAAATCTGTTTCTATGGATACTGTTCATTTACCGGACAGACTCCAAATGTTCAAAATCAATATGTACAGACCTGTGTCGCACATGAACAACAACACAATCACATCCTAGAGAGGAAGAGTAGAAACTACCTTGCTTGGTCTTTAACAACCTCTACCTCAATAATGAATATGGAGAAGAGGAAAACATGATAATGTTAATGCTTAACAAATGGACATCAAATAAAACAGTAAACTATTAATAAACCAATAATCTCTCAGAATTTTAATGATGTATGAAAGCGCTTACTTCTCATATATCCGTTGGCCTCTCATAAAAACTTTGGCTTCGCTGTCCAATGGAAAGGTTCCGTCGTCCTTCCTGAAACGGTAGAACAGCTTCATATCTTTGAACTCCTTGTGCTCATCACAAACTGTGAGGACAAACAGATTCAAAACAGGTTTGTTGTAAAAGTGAACAATACACAGGAAGACACTGCTACAAGCAATGGTTTAAAGATCAAACTGGTTTCATCGACAGTGTAACAGAGATCATGGTTTGTCATACCTTTGCACATAAAATATTAAAGGGAACATTAACCCAAAAATGAAAATTCTGTTGTCATTTATCTTTGCTGCTCTTTTCCATATAATGAAAGTGAATGGGGACTTGGCCTCTATAGGCTCCAAAATGGAAAAAAAATTCACCCAAAAAATATCATAAAAGCAGTCAATATGACTTTGATACTGTGATACTGTCTGAAATTTAGGCTGTTATTCATTGACCTTCCCCCTTCAACGAAGCTCAAAAATGGAAAAAAAATTGTACAGTGAAGCCAATTGATGTGAGTCTGTTCATCAACATACTGTAGCTATTGAATGGCTTCAGAACACTTGTAATACAGAGCACAATTCTAATGAACCACTTTTATGATACGTTTATGGAGATTTTTAGATTTTTTTTTGGAGCTTGACAGCCTCAGTCCCCATTCACATTCATTATATGGAAAACAGTGGTCAGGATAATCTTCATACAGGTTTGGAATGACATGAGGAAATGATGACAGAATGTTCAATTTTGGGTGAACAATTCCTTTAATATAGTGGAATACAAATATAGGAATTCAAGTACAGTATGTGGTGGACAAACCCACCATGGTGAAGGATGCTCTGGTCAAGAAGTTTCTGCATGATCTTGATGGCAGTATCTCTGTCAGATGCTTCTTTGTGCTCAATTAGCCAATCAATGATCTCCTTGGCCACAAAGCAGTTTGGGTAGGTGCGGAGATGATGCCTCCTGTCTTTGATCACCTTAGCCTCATGGAGCCGTAGGCTGGAAAACAGAAAATAAATCAGATCAACAGCCATCTTTCCACCTTTTTGGTGTGAATTCTCCATTCAGCAACCAGCATGAAATAACCAGCAATACAAAACCTGTAACTTCACAACACACTTTTTAAAACGGATATCCATACCTACATTTACACAGGCAGCTATATCATTCCTAGGTCAATCCATGAAGATTCAGCCTAAAATTACTTAAAAAGATTTGTCTTAAAAAGTAGAACAGATACGAAAACAGACAAATGGCATAGAATGAGACAATTACAACATGGAGATTCATATTCCAGTCACCTAATGTGTAATGTGTTTAGACTAGCCTTGAGTTTTGTCAAAATTCAGGTTCCAACATGTGGCTTTTGTCTATTATGTCTTGGGTCCATATCATAATTGGATTGGATTTGTCTAATTGTATTCACCATTATGTCATTTGATCTTATGCAATAGTTTTACTGCAGCTTTCACTTAATCCTCTGTATTAGATTAAGGAATTTATGATGACCGGGCCAAACCTTGGTTATTTTCATTTCTTTTTTTCACCCAAAAATGATTTTTTTTTTCACCCTCATGTCATTTAAAACCAAGCATTTCTTTCTTCTTTATTCTACAATTGAAGTCAAAGGAGTCTGGAATGTTTTCAACACCACTGACTTTGGAACAACATGAGGATGAGTAAATAATGACATAACTTCCATTTGTGGTGAACTGTCCCTTTAAGAGCTGTAAAAACACATACTTTAATTCGTTCATAACCACAAGAACAGAAACTACAGTAAACCATAAAAAGTACTCAAAGTTTGCTGGCAAAGGTTACGCACCCCATAACTGTGTCCATCATATCTTGTCTTAACACTGATAGCTACATATTCTCAATTATATTATCAGCAACAAGCAGTCGTACAGCAGTTGACACAACGGCATGGGGCTGACAAGTGACTGAACAAAGACTCACATGTCTGTAGCAGTGTGCAGCCAGTAGTTCACACCATTAAAGTGCACTTTGGCACTTTTTGACACCAAACAACAGAGCAATGGGAGACGTGTGGTACAACATTACCAAATAATAGCCTGAGTGAAACGTCAGCTACACCTGGTGTATTCCAGTGGCATGTGGGTGACGTGTAAAATGAGGAAGCAAATTAATGTTTATGTGGATTGCAGTCATATGGAACTAATGGACTAATTGGCTCGAATTAATGATCATTTCATGTTTTGTATCCAGTCATATCAAGTCATATCCAGTTAATTTGATTGGGATGCAGCGTCATTACCGTGAATGAAAATGAAAATGAAAAACAAAAACGAAAACTAAAATAAAAATAAAGACTAACATAACTTGGAATCTAAATGGAATCTAAACTAAAATACATTTTAATGATTACAATGCTAACTAAAATAAAACAATAATGGTCCCAAATTCATTTTAGTTTTTGACACATGATATACTATTAAACTTGAAAACTTTAAAGGGGTCATATGAAGCGATTTCAATTTTTCCTTTCTCTTTGGAGTGTTACAAGCTCTTGGTGCATAAAGAAGATCTGTAAAGTTGCAAAGACTAAAGTCTCAAATCCAAAGAGATATTCTTTATAAAAGTTCAGAGTCAGCCACACCTACCTAAAACGGCTCGTTCTAACACGCCTCCACATATCTACCTCACTATGTGGGAAGATTTGCATAATGCCGCCCAAATGTTCACGCAAAGAAAGAAGACGTAACTTTTATTCTCACTGTAGTTTTGATGATGCTGCAGCCATGTCCTGAAGACGATGTGTGCTTCGTTGTGAAAGCGAAACTACTTTGTTCTTCATTTCTCTGATCACAAATGCAGACAGAGTTTTATGTTTACGCGGCGCGATGCAATGCAACGCAACGCGTAAAAAGACAGTATAAGTCATTATAATCAGTAATTATGTCCCCACTGGATGCAACAAATGCCTCGTTTGTATTGGGTTTTAATGTTTTTGTCTCGTCGCTCCGGCCGGACACGGCATCAACAGTATGTGAGGGGCGTAACATTTCCGTCTCACAACGCACTGGATAGCTGGCCAATCACAGCACACCTCGCTTTTTCAGACTGATGAGCTTTGTAAAAATCGACGCGTTTCAAAAAGGCGGGGCATAGAGGAGAACAATAATGTACAGTATGTGGAAAAGAATGTGTTTTTTTTACTTTAAAGCGCATAAACACATTTCATTACACCAAATACACAAAATAATGTTCTTTTTAGCAGCATCATATGACCCCTTTAAGGCCCGTTCACACTAAGGACGATAACTATAGAATAAAGATATAGTTTTAAAAATCGTTCTAATTGTAAAAGAATAGTAGAGTCCACAGCATGACTATAACCATAATGACACAGAGGAACGATATTGTTGAAATCACTTTCACATTGTTTGTTTTCCCGCTAATGAACTATAAAAACACTGACAGCCAATTAGAATCTATCCTGCTTTAAAGACCTCGATCATTTAAAGTGGCAGATGACAAAAGTGCATCATGCACTTATAATAAACAGAACAATACTGTGTGTTGGTGTGGACACTGATACAGTTATTGCTATAGTTATCGTCATATATATCATTTTTAACGTAAAAGGGCCTTTACACCCCGCCTGCATTAAGAATGAAAATGCCATAACAACACAGGACTGTTGAGAAATTGAAAGCTGATGAACATTTTTAAATTATACCATTACATTTATTTTAAATTAATTGAAAATAAATGTGCAATTAGCAATTTTATATTACAGTAGTATTTTGGTAGCCCTAAAATACTAAAACGGAATACTAAATAAACTGAAACTAGAAAACTCAATCAAACTAAAACAAACAGCGATACAGGGAAAACTAATGAAAACTAAGCTAAAGTGAAAATAAAATAAAAATGACCTTAAAAATGTCAAACTACAATAATAACTGCGTATAGACGTGACCAAAGGGAGTGATAAACTTTATACGCTGTTGGAAAATGTTACTCCACAAAAAAAATGAGTGTTCTACTTACTATTTTATCTTAAAGTTCATTATCTTTCTCTTTTTTTATACTTCTGATTATTTTGTCCATCAATATTTTTGAGGAGGTACTGCATCTCCAGATGAAAACCCCTAGTGTATTCTTCTCATTTAAACCTGTCCGCAAACTGAACTTAATGCAGTTTTGTCTACCAACAACAAACCTAGATAGGGTAGAGCTAACCTGACGGCCCGATACCAGAATCAAGCATGCCTGAGCTGGGACCGGGTAAAATGTGGGCCTGCTGTCACTGCCTGATTACTGATTATACAAACCTGAGTCAGCTGTACATAGCAAAGTGATACCAGCAATCGGCAGATAAAACTGGTTCACTGTGACCTAGGATAACAGAACCAGTCCTATGATTCTGATATTCCCACACAACTAGGAAATAAAATCTCTCTCACCCACAAAATGATGTCTTAACCTCCAGGGGGTCTGTTAGAGGCCCTTAACATTATTATTATTATACGCACCTGAAACTAAAGCACATTCAGGACATTGAATGTGAAATCCTGTGAAATAAAACAGCTTGTAGATAAGTTTTCAATAAAAACCAGTTTTCAAGTTGCTAGACATTGTAATGCTGAAAAAACTACTGTGTCGTGTACTGGGATTCAGCAATCATTAATCAGATGTATCGACTAAACACCTTTCTGCTTCATTCGCTATCACTTCACAGTTGACCGCAAACAGAGCAGCTGTCTGGAAAAGCACCAATCAGTCACATTATGCATAAAAATTAGCATTGGTTGTGATCAACTGCAAACAAAAATATTTTTTTCAGTGTTATACAAGACTCTCTCCAGCAGATTCATAGAGGTCATTCCATTAAAAGGGTGTCTTTTGTGTACCTTATGAATATATGTGTAAACCAAGACTTTAACAAAAAAAAAAAGAAAAGAAAAAAGAAAGAAAGAAACACACTTTTACTATCTCCATCCATCAATTTTCCAAACTGTCTGCCCTATGTAGGGTCACAGAGACACTCTCAGGCTGCAGGCAGCAAAATACCTTGAATACATTAATGGGATAATTAACCCAAAAACAAAAATGTTGAACACAAAAGAAGATATTTTGAAGAATGCAGGAAACCAAACAGTTGTTGGTAGCCACTGATTTTTTTTCCCCATACTATGGAAGTCAATGGCAACCGTTTGGTTACCAACATTCTTCAAAATATCTTCTTGAATTTTCATTTCTGGGTGAACCACCTGAATGACCGGATAAGTCCGCCATACGTCACAAGGAAAAAGTCTGACATTTTCACCAAAAGACTGATTTTGATTAAAGCCACCATGACAATAAAATGATTATTTTTGTATGGGATATTGCAGTGTTTTTATAAATCATTTATCTGTGCACATCAGTATGTTTACAAACAAATGTCAGAAACCTTAATCAAAAAAATTTACTTTTTTTTAAATAAATGAATAATTCACAATTTATATCTATATTATGCATTTACAAAAACTGGGTGAATTTTATTTTCACGAAATATATATATTGTGTAATGACAAATGGGTGTACCGACCGCCTATCTTTATGTGCGAAACCCACTATATTTAAATCCAAAATGTTTAATAAAGGAGTAAAGGGTACACATGACACCCTATTCTGAAATCATTATTCAATTACTCGCAGTGCCACATTTGAAGAGATCTACTGATAGCGACGCGACAAACCAGCGACGTCGCGCGCTTGCAGTTTCGTTCATTTAAATGGCAGCGTCCTGGTTTTGACGCGTCGCGTCCGTGAAATTGGGGCGTCAAGCCACACCTACCGTAACTGTTCTCCTGTAACGAGGACTTCGGCCATGCGCTCCAACTCAGCAGCCTTCTTCTGCATGGTGTTCCCGATGCCGTCCATCTCTGACAGCCAAGCTGAATATAAAATCATACACGCAAACGTGACAAATCAGCATTTGGAGGAGAAAAAGGCTGTTTGCGAAATGACCTGCCACGCACAGCGTGCTTGGGTTTGTATTGGGTGTACTGAACACGCCTCTCATATGGCAGACTGGGGCGTGATGCTTGTTATGACACCGGTAATATTTGAGGTAGACGAACTGCCCAGTTAAATGGAATGAGTGAGAACACAGCAGCATGTTATTATTAGTATTGTTATTTTACATAAGCAATATCCGAAAGATTCAAATCAGTCTGCGTAATGTAAGAACATCGAAATAAACACGCAATGATACGAAGGAGAAAGCATTGTTTACCTTATTAGTTCCGATGCAGAGACGTCAGGCTGATCTGAATTTATGTTTGCAGAGTAACAGCAGCGGTGTCACTTAAAGAGCATCACTGTTCAGCTGATCACAGGTCAAAACGACTCGAAGTAACGTTAACTCGTCGTTTTGTGTGCCATCAAGTGCCCTCAGTCATCAGTGCATCCAGTCAGTCCGTGTGTTTAAATGCACATGAACCGCAAAGCCTTGCAATAAATGACACCGAAGCTTCAAACAGCAGATTATTCCTGAAGACAGACTCGGGACGATTCGTATTCTTCATGCTATTGTGGATTGTTTACTGCTCTTCACCGAAGGCACGTTACTGCCCGTGTTGCAGGCGAGTCAACATGACCATCCTCAGTCAGTCAGAGGGGGAGTTCACCATGAGGGGCGGAGCCTAGAGTTCAGCACTTTACTGCATGCTTTACTCCCAAATACTCACTGTAAACACCCAGCAAAATGTTTCGTTCGTGAATGTAACAACATATGCTGATGATTCTTCAAAACATATGGGTTTAAACATTTTACGTTGTATTGTATGAAAGTCTTGAACATTAAAATAAATAAATATTAGATTTTTACCATTCATCCATCCTTTACTTTTGCTATTTTTCAATCGTCTTCTATTTGATTTGATTTGATTTGATTTATTTGATCTAATAAAGCACATTTCATAAACAGTGGTAATTCAGAACGCTTTGTATAGGCTATTTTAAAATGTTTAAATATTTTTTTCGATTTTAAAATTAAATATATCATACCATATCAGGTGCATAAGAACAATAAAAAGTAAAAGAAATGATTTACAATTATTTAAAATGCAAAACAAAAAAAAAAGATACATTTGTTTAGGCATTAGCATGCATTTTATAGTCCCAGACCTATATTTCAAATTCTGAAATCTAAAAACCTATAATTATTTATATATATGTATATATATATATATAAAAAAAGAATATAAATTATTGCCGTTTTAAAAATTTGAAAAGAGTGAGATAAACATAAACCATTTTAATACATGTTTATTGTGTGATTATATTTATCTATTCATTTATTTTATTATTAAAATGACAAAACAGTCCACAGCTGTGAAGTCATATGTCCACCACAACAAACAATTTTGCCCCATTAAAGTTTTTCTCAAGTAAGTGTACGTCTACCAAGGGCAACAGCGTCAATGAAGAGCATTTTTTAGAGATAAAACATGGGACATGATGTATAAAGAAAACACAAAACGCCTCTTTTGGACATGATACTGTATGGAGTTAGTGTTCAATGGCTCTGCACATTTTTGTGAGCATCAAAAAACCCGAAAAGAACGCGGCCAGTAAATGACATCGTGTCATGGAGCGCCATCTAGTGGACAAGTGACGGTGACACACTTTCATTGGCTCTTTCTGCTGTCAATCAACCTTGCGGGAAAGTTGAGCGCTGACAACGGCACAAGCCTTTCTGTTGAGTCGACTTGGATAAAACAAATTCTTACAGCATGAGGACATTAAAAGAGGTTCAAGCCACGCTACAAATCGCTAAAGTACAAGAAGAAGACCTGCAGCCCGTCACTTACTGTCTTTCTTTCGGAGGCAATGTATCGTCGGGCGATTACTGTCTCATGGAACTGGATGAAACACTTTGTAAACACATTGAAGCAGGCAAGAAGTAAGTTAGCTATTATTACTTCCTTTTTAGCTGAAATAGCAACTTACTATCTCAGTATTATTTAGCCAGAAATTAATTTCAAAAACGTTTGAGTAAAATTTAGTATTGCATGCTGTTGTGGAATCATGCATCTGTCGTGATGTCTGGATTTCTCATTAGTCTAATAATCAGAGATGATAAAGACGAGCGTGCAGTTCTATGCAGTGAAGAAAAGACGCACGACCTGCTGCTGTTTGTCCAGGGATGTAACACTCCAGATCAGCTGCCTGACATCTCCGCATCTGCTCAACTCATGCATGCACAGGTGACTGGAGAAGGCTTTCCTGAAGATGTGATTTTATCCTCTGTTGATGTGATTTTATCCTCTGTTGATGTGATTTTGTCTTCTAATAACTTTTTGATTTCTCAGATTTGGGGGGTTTCTAATTGTTACTGGGAGCTGAGAAGGCAGAGACCAATGTTAAAGAAGTTGAAGAAACTTCTCATGGAGAATCCATATGATGGGCCAGCAGTGGGTATGCAGGAGGAGGCGCCAGGACTGAAGGTATGCCACTGCTGTTTAGAAGTAGTTAGCAGTTATTAACCTGTACTCAAAATATGTTCGATTTAGGCGTGTTGGGGTCTACATTTCCTTCATTATTGAATTACCAACACATTAACAGTGCTTGTGCTTTTAAAAGCTTTGTCCAGAAGTGGCATCAAATGTTTTTGTTTTTATTTCATTTTTTAGTACACTATGGAGGACCTCCTTGAGAGAATACAAGCAAGAAGAAATCGAGGCACATCTTCAAAATGTCCATGCTTGTGAAATTGACGGTGAGCTAATCAGATCTGTCTGCTTTAAACATGTAAAAAATTAAATATTTGGAAAAGAGACCCCTAAAACCATAAGATATGTATTGGATATGAACATATTTGGGAGAATTTGTGGACACAGTAAATTATTTAGGTTTGTGGGGGGATTCTCAGAATTTGGGCAGACGGCCCGCATGTTGTTGCTGGTTATTATTATTATTTAATGTACTTATCCTAAGTCATTATTTGATAATAAAATAATTTTTACATTTTAAAGCTCTTGTTGTGCATCTTATCCTATAGACCAGCGGTGGCGAACTCCGGTCCTGGAGAGCCGCAGCCCTGCAGAGTTCAGCTCTAACCCTAATTAAAACTCACCTGCCTGTAGCTTCCTAATAACCGTTAAGACCTTGATTAGCTTGTTCAGGTGTGTTTGATTAGGGTTGAAGCAAAACTCTGCAGGGCTGCGGCTCGCCAGGACCGACGTTCGCCACCCCTGCTATAGACCAGGGATCCTCAAATCTGGCCCACGAGATCCACTTTCCTGCAGAGTTTAGCTCTAACCCTAATCAAACACACCTGAGCAAGCTAATCAATGTCTTCAGGATCATTAGAAAATCACAGGCAGCTGAGTTTGATCAGGGTTGGTGCTAAACTCTGCAGCGCATTGGACCTCCAGGGTAAGATTTGAGGAACCCTGCTATAGACCAGTGGTTCCCAACCCTGGTCCTGGAGGCACCCCAACACTGCACGTTTTGCATGTCTCCTTAATCAAACACACCTGATTCAGGTCATCAGCTCATTAGTAGAGACTCCAAGATTTGAAATTGGTGTGTCAGAGAAAAGAGACATGCAAAATGTGCAGTGTTGAGGTACCTCCAGGACCAGGGTTGGGAACCACTGCTATAGACCAAATAAGCTTAAAAAGTGTAGAAATCAAAAAGAGTAATTTCATTAATCCTTATTATTTTGTTTGTTTATATATATATTATAATTACATTGATTTGATGTACAATGTTCCATTAATACAAATAGTTGGTTAAAAATCATCAGCTCATTAGTAGAGACTCCAAGATTTGAAATTGGTGTGTCAGAGAAAAGAGACATGCAAAATGTGCAGTGTTGAGGTACCTCCAGGACCAGGGTTGGGAACCACTGCTATAGACCAAATAAGCTTAAAAAGTGTAGAAATCAAAAAGAGTTTATTTCATTCATCCTTATTATTTTGTTTGTTTATATATATATATTATAATTACATTGATTTGATGTACAATGTTCCATTAATACAAATAGTTGGTTAAAAAATATATATATATGTACTTTACTTTATAGATTCTGTTGGAATCAGACAGCTTTACTAAAGAATTAGTGTCAAGTAGTTTCTTAATTTTCAATTTTGTGGTATAACAACTTAATTAGCAAATGTTTCAATATATTTCCCATTAGAAGAATAATATTAATAAGTGGGGCATCTCCCTCTCTTATGAGGGTAATGTCTTCACTATCGGTGAAGTGAGTTGTTAAACGCAGACCTGTGTTTGTAGGATTTTGGAAGATCCTGGATTTTGATTATGAGATGACGCTCCTGGGTCATGTGACCCAGCTGGTGGACTCAGAGTCTTGGTCTTTCAGCAAAGTTCCTCTCAGTGTCTGTCTGGAAGAGCTGGGATCCCTTGAGCCAAAGTGAGTTATGATGAAAGATTAGAAAATTATGAAAAACAGTAGATCATCCAAAAGGCTATTTTTGCATTCTCCATTTTACTTGTTCTCTGATCAGAGCCATGATAGAACACTGTCTGAACTGTTATGGAAGAGACTACAGTATTGAAGGTTAGTTTTTTTTATACTCGCTGTTCATTATGAATTTGACGGATAAAGGACCCTTTATCTTTTCTTTTCACATTTCTTTTAGATGGTCAGGTGATGTACGCACTGGATGAGGACAAAGTATGTAGGGCCACAGCTCAGCTGCTCCTGCAAAATGCTGTGAAGTTCAACCTGTCAGAGTTCCAGGAGGTTTGGCAGCAGAGTGTTCCTGAGGGAATGAGTGCTAGACTGGATCAGCTCCGGGTGAGGACCCCAGCTTATACACACAGAGCAGTAACTACATTAGTCGGACACTTGCACGTGGTCTAACAGCTGCATCATGCTAAACATCAGAATCCAAATGAGATTTATTTCCAAGTATGTTTACACTCCCAAAGAATTTGTCTTGGTGACACAAGCCGTTTCCAGTGCATGCATACATTGTATGTACAATTGTAATAAAACAAATAAAAAGAACATGGGTATGTTTATTATTATGTTAATTAATATGGGATATTTCATGTGTAAATATCCATGTTTTGTGTCATTCTGGGTTTAGCTCTGTTAGATCGAAGCACTAAACCAGAGACCATCTCACTGCTGCGGGTAGAAGATCTCCATGAGGACACACTGGAGCGATTCAACAGCCTCTTCAGCCTGAAAGAAAAATGGACGCAAGATGATATCGAACCCTACATACAGTATGTATATTGATATTCAGACTCTTTGAATCTATATTTCTTTACAAACAATAAAATGCAGTGTAGGGCTGCAACTAGCAATTAATTTGATAATCGTTTAATCTGTCGACTATTTCTTTGTTTAATTGGTTAAAAATCCAAATATTATTCATTTTTAAAATGTAATAATTAGGTAATAGAAATATTGTAACTGTGCAATTTGAAGGCTATGAATACAAATATTGTGACTATATCTATGTAGGGTTAAATATAACCATGACATTCTAAAACAAAAAACAACTACTTGCTTACCATTTTAAAGGGATAGTTCACACAAAAATGAAAATTCTGTCATTATTTACTCACCCTCATGTAGTTTCAAACCCGTAAGACCTCCGTTCATCTTCGGAACACAAATTAAGATATTTTAGAAGGAATCTGAGAGC